TACTTTAAGTATTCATTTGCAACACTGAACTGTGGTAGAAATTGAGCAAGGAATCTGTGATCACCAGTGGTGTCCTGTGATCCTCAGTGTAACTGATGGCATAGTTGACTTTCTGAAGGCTGGTCTAACCTAAACCAAATAAACATCATGAGACCTGTGCACGTAGGTTCTGTACATCAAGCTCTCTGAATCAGCTGAAGTGAATGTTACATTCAATAATTTTATTTTTCTTGAAAACTTTCACGCACACCAACCTCTATGTATTGTGCACTGTTACTACTGACAGTGCTCTGTAGTTAGGGTCCCTTCAAGCAATTGCATGCAGTTAAATACCTGCGAGTTAACTGGAAAACCGGGTTTTTTTTTCTAAATATCCAGAACTCGGGATACTCCCAGTATTACTAGCACCTTAATTAGGAAGCTCTTCAGAAATGTGATTTGATTAACCTATAACATTGCAACAGAAGGAGCTGCGTAAATACCTTTTTCACACTAGAACTAGTGCAGACATTGTACAGTAACTGTGGACCATATGTACCACAATATTGTCACACACCTGAAGAAAAAAGACACCTCAGTTTTCTATTCTTAAATATGTCTGTTGTGGTAAAACATTAAAACTTCAAGGTATAGTCACGCTACGATTTCCTCTGGGGTTTATAATCTCTAAAGGTAGTACTTTGTGTGATAGTCTGGGAGTCTTGGAATGACATGTAATTGTAGAATACGAATTATTACTGCAAGGAGACTTCAAAATGCATACTTTAGTCTGCAAGAAGGCAGAAACTCGTTTTCCTACTCCAAATATGCTTCCTGTATCTGGAGAAAAACTCCAAAGAAGCAGAATATGATTATTTTAATGTGTATTCATAGATAATCTCCTGAACTATATATTAATACTTAAATAAAATGTAAGAGCAGGCTTTTCTTACAGTATTTATACTTGAATGTAGCTGAATGACAACTTCTTAAAGCTTTTGTTCTTTTACCCTGCCTGAGGTCCAGGATTTGGTCTGCACAAATCCATAGCTCTCAAATTAAATGTTAGAGTTCAAAAACAGATTTCTGCTTGACGCGCAAAAAGCTGAAGTTAGCAGAACAAATGGAGCCTGAATTTGGTCCAGCTGTCTTGATTTCAGATAGTGTATTACAACTAAAATTAGTAGTATGCTAGTAAAACATTTTTTGATATGTGATTGTGTTTTTCCGTTCTTTTTGCAAGACTGATTAGCATTTCTAGATATTTCAGGTTTTTCATATGTATTGTTTAATTGTGCATGAACAGTGCAGAGGATGTCAATACAGGGTACTGCAATCATCTGCTAATCTAAGCCTTATCTAACCTACTTACCTATTATACTAACAACATTTATTAATTGGTTATCCTTCTGAATTCTTTATGACAGCTGGTGTTATTGATGAGGATTACAGGGGAAACGTTGGTGTGGTACTCTTCAACTTTGGCAAGGAGACTTTTGAAGGTAAGTGTTAAGCTTGGCAGAGCCTGTTTTCAGCCATCTGACTGAGAAAACAGTTTTTCTTTAAAAGTCTCTGAAGAGTTGCAGCTAGCTGAGAAGAATATTCTTCTTACAGTTAATAAAACCATAGAAACTTAACAATGTCCTGTCAAAGAAAGAAAAAAAAGATTCCACAAACCACCCAAAAAACCCAAAACACACCATCACCACCATACCAGACCAACTCAGCTAAGCTCCAGATTCATGCGCTGTAATGAAGCGCAGCTTTCTATTAAGCTGCTTTCTTGCTCCACAAAAAAAAGGCCAAACGTTTAGCTGATCAGTATGTTAGATAAAACTTCTCAGGATCCTTGGAAACATGAATAATAAAGGTATGATTTTTCCCTTAATCATGCTATCTCTCTGCAAACAGTCAGTTTTAAGCCTCAGGGCTACTGGTTTTGCAGCCTTTTCTGTCACTTCACAGCACAAGCTGCTTCTGGCAGTTCTGTGAACCAGTTTGCTAATCAGAAAATTTGTTTTCCTTTTATCAGTTCAGGGTATTTTCCCCCATAGAAATCAGTTCCTGGGGCTAGTTCACACAAGGAGTTACATCATACATAGAGCTCTCTTCATCTCTACAGTATTTATGCATAAAGACACTTAATATACCACAGTATGGGTGTCAGCAGGAATGAGGGGGAATGCCTTGAGCTGGTACTGCTCCTGAAACTTCATCTTAAAAGGACTTAAAAACAAGTTTATCTTATCCTGTATTTTTCTGTTACTATTAATTTCTGCCTAACTATGTTTCACATAAGTGTTTGCACTTCAGTACATTCTGATACTCCCAAAAGAGGATTGTCTAAGCTTTTTATTGCTGGTTTACTTTTTGAAGCAACTAATAATATTTTAATTTCATTGCAGTCAAAAAAGGGGATAGGATTGCGCAGCTCATCTGTGAACGCATTTACTATCCTGAGCTAGAAGAAGTTCAAGTAAGCTGTCAAAAGAAAATACTTCTCAATTTTCAGTAATTAATAGTTGTATATGTCTCTATAGAAGCTGAGATTTATGGCCTAAATACTTTGCTTTAAAACTGCGTAATAGCATTGCTACTTGAGTAGAAGTCTTGTTGCTTTGCATACATTTATATTGATTTTTCCTGTAGTTTTCAGAGTTAACAGGTACTTGAAACACTCAGTATACCTTATAAACAATTGTCTCTCAATGTAGGATTTGTTTAAACTTGTACAAAAGGTATTCTGAAGTCTTTAACAACATTTTTTTTTTGTTTAATTTCTCAATTATACCTATTGTTATGAGTAAACATACCTTCCTGTATGATAGACATTATCTGTTGTGTAGAAAGAAAAGGGAAGTTAAGACACTAAACCAACTTACCATAATTGATGTCTTTCAGGCTCTGGATGACACTGAACGTGGTGAAGGTGGCTTTGGTTCTACTGGAAAGAACTGAAAATTATTTGAATATGTATTCTATTTTTTTTTTAAGTTATTTCTAAATTTTCATATGAAACAGAAGTGGGATTTTGATGTACATGTAAAAAAAAAAGTTTCATTCAGACTTTTGCGTATTTGTCCTGTCCCTTTTTACAGGCAGTGAATTCATCTGCATTATGGATAAATGTGCATGACTAACTTGATTGGTTGATGTATTATTTTTGCTTTTTAGATGTACAGTCTTTGGTAATAAGAACTCATTGCTTATGTTCTGATTATGCTCTAATAAACTTAAAAATAAATTAATTGATTTGATTTTACTCACCTAAATTAAAATGGCTGATTGTTCCCGTGCTAGTTTGTGTTAGTCCTCTAAAAGTGTATCTTCTGTGTAGCTCAGTATTTCATGCTGAGGGTTTATTTCTTACCAGATCAGTGATAATGCAGGTATCAATATGACTTCCCCCTCTGACCCCTAAATCAGAAAAAGGCAGAGATCTTTAATATTGCATCTTCTACAGCCTGTGAAAATACTTGTGTTTCTGTTCAAACCCAAAGTTCTGTCTTTGATCCTTCGCTGATCCTCAAACAGCTGTTTTTTCAGCTCTCGATTGAGCTAAGTAACACAAGTCATCCGGAAATAACTTACATAGTAAACAAATGCTATGAAATATGCTGTCGAAATACGTGTTGACAAATTCAGTAATAAGTCACTGTATGGAAGAAATATTCTGAATTACTGAAGCAGTACACAAACAGATTTTTTCAGTTCTGTTTTGACTGCTTAACATAGAACTCTTTTGGAATTTGTCCTGAACCTGATTGCTTCTTTAAGTGTAAGAATCCCTTAATGACTCAGACTCTCAGGTGGAAGAACATGCACACAAGAGAAGGACAAAAGGAAAGAGTTGAGTATTTGGCCACTTTATAGAAAAGGATTAGAAAAGGCTGTGATGTTCTCAAATGTATTCCCCCTCCCCCCCTTTCTGTTCTATAACCTGCCAAAAGGAACTTCAATTACCAAGAGATATTAAAAGACCTTAAAATAACTGTTATCCTTTTATGTAAAAGGTTTTTCTCTAGCTGCAGTAAGTTGAGAGCAAGTTTAGGCTCCTCTTTTGTTCCCTCTCTATCTCCAAAGCAAAAAAAACAGCAGTAAATACACTGATGAAAGTCCTTAAAAGATATTATAAGATGATCTCACCTGAAACAGCAAGCTACAAGGAAAAAGTTGATACTCCTCTGTTGTACCTGTTGGAAACTGATCTTGTTTCCATTTTGAAAGTAATACTTCACATTCTAACTTAGGAAGGGATGGTATTTGCTAGGAAAAAAAGCACTGTTTCAGAAGCTATCTCAGATGCACAAGGAAGAAGCTGAAATTTACAAATCCATGCCTGCTCTAAATTGTCAGCATACAGACTAAGTGTCATTACCAAAAAAAGCTCCCTTATTTTGACAATTGGTATAGTTGAGATTCATTCCACCATTTCTCAATACTTGCCTATAGAACCATGAAATAAGTTTAAGATTTTTTGCAAGGCTCTTGCCAGTAGTACCTGGAAAAGCCTCTTCATCTGATGCAATAAATGGTTTCAAGCTCACCTCCACACTGAGCTCCTCCCTGTGCATCAAACCATTGCACTAGGGTAACAAATTCTGATAGTTCCTTTTAGTGTTGGGGTTTTACTTCAATAAGAGGAGTAAATCTATAGGAGAGAAATATTTCTAACCAAGCAACAAGAATTACATACCAATGTATTGAAAGTTCTTAAGTCAATACTTGCTACTGCAGACCAGAGTCTGTACTGAAATCTGTAGAAACTTTTTGTACTGGCAATGAGTAGAGAATTCTAACAACAGTATTTGCCGTTTTCTGGTTCAAACTATGCTGCCTCTTCCCCCCCCCCCCATTTTTTTAAAGAAAGTCCCAGAATTTCATTAGTATGAAATTATTTTGGTGTTCCCTTTTTCCATTAATATTACCTATGCTACAAAAGTATTTGATCTTGGTATCTGGGAAGGTATCCCTGTCTCTGACTCATAAAGATCACCCTCTCTCCCTGTAAGCAAGGGGAAAAAAGGTAAACAGCACTTCTTCAGCAAGGTTTAAATTTTGCCTCTTTATTCTGGTACATTTTAAGCTTTAATTAGCATGCTTGATCCTCTTAAACAGAAATCAGAATGTGTAAAATCTTTATATTAGCAGAAAGAAGAGAGACCTGGGAAACACATGGATCTTGTTCATTACTATATCTGAGATCTGTCCTTCTCCCTAAATTAATTAGTTGCAAATTAGTTTTGTAATTCAATGAAAAACTGAACATGCTTGAGCAAGCAACCTCCTGAGAAGCTAGACATGAACATGAATAGATTTTAGTTCTATCCAGACAGATTCCTGTGTCCAAATCGTGTCACTAAGGTGTAATCCCCAGGGCTCACTATAGGTATGAAACTGAAGAGATGTAAAGCTCCAAAGTATAGTGCTATTTGCAAAAAAACGAAATGAGAATTACATTCAATAATAGGTATGCTGGGCTGCTTTCCATTATCACTGAACAGGTTCAGACAAAGCTACTGTTGGAGAAGGGACATACCTCCCAAAAGAAGTTTCTTAAAGCTTGGGGAATGATCTTGTGGGATGTCCCCTGTGTAAATGGAACATGAAGCTTTTGCAGTGGGAAAATAATTTGTTGGGAATTCTCATCTACAGCAGAAAATACCTTTTTCCTGCAGGGAAATGAAAAGGATATTACTAACTGACAATCTGCTCCCTTTCTTTTAGGAATGGATTTGACTTGTTACAAGCAGAGAGAGAGAAAATCTGGCCTTCAACCCCAGGTGAATTTAGAGAAAGTAACTTCTGAATTCACATGCTTGATTCACTCCTATGGCTTGGGTTCTGTTTCGAGATCTGAAAGGTTCTATTTTCTGATTTAGACTGAAATACATACGACTGGTATTTCCTTAGAAAGCCAGAAGCTGATAAGCTGGTGAGGGTCTTGAAGGGAATGGTGATCACTGTACAATTCCTATCGTTTGAACTCCCAACTTAGGGGCAAAAGCAAAAAGAATTATGGCAATGATACCATTGGTCTTTAGTCCTTTTCTTGGTTCCCCGAAGTGTTAACCTGGTCTTAAGTAGTCATGAATTTAAGCACTGCTTCCTCAGTTCAGCTACAACTATATGAACCATTTGTCATGTTTTGTTGGATTTATTCAGTGTTTTTAGTAGATAAGCCACTAGATGGCACTTAAAGTTTGCTTTCTCTTCCACTTTTTTTTTTCCAGGAGGTATTTTGAAAAAAGATCTGTTCATCTATAATTAAGAGTTGATGACTCCCATTGGGACTATGCTGGCAGAAAGCAAGATGCAGCAATATTTGAGTGAAAGCAGGCAAAAGTATAACCATTAAAGGGGGAACAATGACTATAATTTAAATAAGAGTTGGGTGGTTGCAGTGTTTGCATAATCCCTCCTGGCATGCAAGAGCAGTAGAGAAGCCTGTGGCTTTGCTCTCCTGCTGCGCTTCAACAAAAATGGAAAATTGTAATGAACAGCAACATTTTTCCTATCTTTCATATTCACTCTCTTCTCAGTCCTCCTTCCGCTAGTCCTTTAAGTGGAATGCAGTCTCCTTAAGGATTGCATTTTAATGAAAGTAGTGTATATCTTTGTAAATGGCAATGGATTCTCCAAATCAGATGCCTCTTGCTGTAAGTTCAGGACATAAATTAAACCTTACTTAATATGTGTTAACCCAGTAAAGGCAGGTGATGTATAGTAACCCAAATTACATGATTTTTTATTAAGGTTCTCTAGTTTCTGTATTGGTTGCTATTCCCGTAATAGCACAGTCTGGTGCTGCTGTATTCTTGTCTTCCTCCTCCCCTTCTAATTTTTATTTAAATAACTATCATTGTATTTTGGCTTAAAGATGGTTAAATAAGTTTCGGTATTAAGTAAACTTCTATGACCCTGCCTATTTCCTGTCCTGTCAAACCTTTCCTTGTAAGAATAACAGTGTCCTTTTATTTGGTGGAGTGTAGCATGATGTTTTTGGCAGGCCCAACATTTTTGACTTGCATAAATTTGTGACCTCAAGTGCAAGAAAAGTGAATGCTTGCTTCAGTGCCTCATGGTTTTCTGCCTAAAAAGAAAAGTGTCCACATCACTAACCATTACAATTTCTGAAGGAAAATTATCAGCACACTTATTCCACCTGATTGCACATGACTGCACTTCCAAAGAAAAGAACCAGAGATACAAGTGTTTCGCACCTACTTATGTGAGGTACCAAAACTCTGAAAATATAGAGCAGACCGTGCTGCCTTACTGGTTTCTAGAACTGGCACACATGGCACTTCCCTCACCAACAGCTCTTTGGCAACCTCTACGTCAGTATGGATGTGATTCTGCAAAGTGTAAATCCGGGTCTGCTGCTGAGCAAAGAATGTCATGCATGGTAAAAGGTTGCAGGATCAGGGCTGAAGAGAATTAACACAATTATTTTCCTAAACTTTCCCTCCATTAACTTCGTAGTTATTTTAGCTCTTTACCACCAAAATGATGCTTTCCCTTTTCTCTGTTAGAAGACAGCAAGAGAACCTTTTACCCTGCCAACTCTGAAAACCTGACAGATTAATAACTTGAGAACCCTCATCCAGAAAGTAACTGCTGTATTTTAACATGTAAAATACGCTTGAACAAACATGTGAGCTGCAAAGGCATACTTACTTCTTTCCCTTAAACTTTATTTTTTTCTTCCATTATGTCACAAAAATGTAATAATAATCATTGGCTTTTTACAGAACATTTGTGTAGCAGATTTTGTGAGGTTTATATCAATTAATATTGCTTGTAGCCTTAACATTTAAAGCCGATATCCTCAAACTGAAGCAAGTTATCTTTTGACTACTATTGATTACAGCAAAGCAATTTCCTTTTGTTTTGTAAAAGGAAAAAGAAAAAACAGTCATGAATGTAGTACCTTCGGCCACATTCTTTTAACATGAGTATTTTGTGGTTTATGGATTCCTAGTCTGAAAGGTTGTCTCCAAGTGTCCAAGACAAAATAACTATGTGTCCTAGTTGGAAGAAAATTTGCTTTTTCCTTTGCAGCCAAGCTAATTGTGCGATGTCTAGCAAGCATGGCTGTGTGTAGTATCCAGTGCTGCCTTGCTAATACACTTCAGTCCTGACCACAACCTTCTTGCTGTCATTAGCTTGCACCCTGGCCACTGCCAAATTGCAGGTATCCTTCCTTAGGGTGCAGTAACACATCAAGGAACACCACTGTCAGGTTTTCACAGCAGCAAACACAAAACATGAGTCTCACTTTCCTATGCTTCTATGTAGAAGTTACTGCTGGCAGCAAGCCAAACTGTCAGTAGTACAGCTAAGTCAAGCCATTTAAATTCTGCAAGAGTGATTTTTCTATCCTAAGACACTGTATCATAGCAATATATAGGCTGGCAGCAGTCTTAAAGAAAAGGAGGAGGTTCTTGTTAGGGGAAAAGGTATGTTGTTTCAGTCCTGTTCTTACCTTTCTTAACTTGCATTAAGGCATTAGCACTGTGAGAAAACTGAAAAAGAAGCTGTGACAATGCCAGCAAATCATGGGTCCAGCAACAGAGAAAACTCATTGCCCCCCCTGGATATGAAGAGGAGACAGCTGAGTCAGAATAGACTGACTCATCATCTTGGTGAGGGTTTTTTTGTTTGGGGTGGGATATTTTTGGTTGATTTGGTGGTTTGTGGGTTTTTGGTTTTTTTTGAGGGGTTTAGGGTTGGGTTTTTTTTTTAATTAGTTTAATTGATACGGTTAATATTAAAAGTTATCCAGGAAAAAATGGAATAAACCTCACTGCCTGGAAGACTGCTGCCAGATTAAAAGCCAAACTGCTTCACCAGGGTGGCAGCTAAGTACTGCTATTTTTATCAGAACATAATTCATCACCTAAGTGCATCACTGTACATCTTGATACCAGTTTCTAGCTGAGAGAGGCTTTAAAAGCAGCTTTAAAAAGGGCTTCATATTTCTGGAAGCATGACATGTATTGTGTCCCACCTCAGGTCACCTGCACAGAACTTCCAGACTGCTGTTCATAACTTTCCCAAATGCCAGCTGGGTAAGCCTCACTAATAGTCCAAAGACGCAAGCTTTCACCATTGTATCTTGAGCAGGCTGGAAGTCTGTTATGTAGGAGAAGTAGCCCCTGTTTGCATTTACTTTTATTTGGATAGCCTTTAAGATGCTTAGCATTTTTGGGACAGCCTAGACTGAGCAGAATACAGCTCAGGCACTTCTGAGTAGTCTACAGGATTCTGGGTTTTTTAGTCCTGTCTGATCCTGGGCACCTGTTTGCCAACAGGACCTGCCTATTTATTTTTACATCATTATTTTCTGTTAATTAAGTTGATTTTAAAACTGTAAGAACCTACACTAATAACAATAATGACAAATTGGACTCCACCTCTGTCCCCCTACTCCTTAAGTCTGTTATTCGAATGCTCAGAACATGTGTCGAGGGCATGGCTATGTATATATCAAAACATGCAAATGATCACTGATGCCAGGGTTGCGTACAAGCTAAATGAAAAATTGTTACTCATTTGCAATTGTTCCAAGAAATTTTGGGTAGCTGCCAAAACAATAGAACAGTTGGATGAGGAGAGGGCTAGGCTCTGTTTAAGCTGGCATTCAGGCTGAAGAAATTCATGCAAAGCCATGGCCATGGTTGTCTGGAAGAGTCAACTTCCTCTCAGTGTTGGGCTGGTGCGCAACAACATGCACTGATAACGCAGCATGCAGGCACATCTGCCCAGCAAATTGGTTACTCTTCCAGCTTCCAATATACTGGAGCTGTTGGAGACACCGAGTGCCTCTAGAGCCACAGATTAGCAAAAAACAATACAACATTGACATCATGGCTGTCTGGCTGTGGTAGGATTGTTAATCATGACACTGTGTTGTTGGTACTAACCCGGGTTAGGAATGATACTGGGGTTTATTACTGTACAAATAGAATAGATGTGGGGAAAGCCAAGGCTTAATTCATACCTTATGATCCCTTAGGGTCTCCCTGGATAAGATGGTTTTTCCTTCATGCCTTTGCTTATTGATCTCTGCCTTCTGGTTTGCCAAACTTTCATTTTCCAGGTGCACCATCAGCTAGCAGGCAATGATAGGAGTGTTTAAATAGGAGGTTGGAAGATTCATGTGAAACTTGCTTAGTTCTAATGAACAGTAGAGAAATAATTTAAGGTCTATTTAACTGGTGCTAAGGAAAAATGCTTACAAATTAGGTCTGATTTTAATTCTAATGCCTAAGAGCAAAATTCATGGTTTAGCACTATAAAGCATATGCCAGTAGCCTAGGGAAAACCCTTTTGTTACAACTCCATCAGGTCTATTAGGTTGCCTCTTCTACTGCTGCCTTATGATACAGTACATTATATAGTCTCACTGGCCTGTGCGTGTTCATAAAGTCTGGTGCTGTTGCTGGCAAAGCTTTATTATATTCGTACATTACACAGAGTGCTGTGCAAAGCTAAACAAAAGAAAGTGACATCCAACTGCTAACAAAGACATGTTGGGTATTCAGATTCCCCCCTTTTCTCCATAGCCAAAGTGTCAGACAAAGGCTTTTTCTGAATCCTTACGCATTGTGTGAAGCGCAACTCAAACAGTCACAAAATGGTACTTGTCATGGCCTTCCATAGCTCCACAATTAGCATTTTTAAAGTTATCCTGCATGCTAGATAAAATTTTCAGTGGCTGAGAGCTGTGAAACTGATGTAGCCCTCATCAGAATACCAAGGGTACTGGCATTGCTTTAAAACTATCACCATAGTCAACTTCAGTTTATATGCACATGGAGGATTTCATGTTTTAATAGCTATGGAAGTATTTTATTCCCTCTGAAAAAAAAAAATAATTGGATTTATGGTTGTTAATGCCCAATACCCAAGGTCAAAAAGCACAGATATTTGGCCTGAAGCATTTCCTTGCAAGAGACCAAGATGCCAGAAAGTTACAAATTATCAACAGTAGGTGCCCAAGGGATTTGAATGAAAACATTTGGAAGTCTTAAATCAATAGCTGTCAGGAGTCCTGTATCTATAAATGCAGTTGTTTTTAGTAAACATCTGTTGAGTGTTTTTAATTCACCTAAAGAAAATATGTTGGAATTAATTTTTATGGGTTTCTGGGATATCAGATCACCAATTGCCAAAGAACTTTGGCACAATTAAAAGGAGTGAGAGTCAGACAAAACACTTCAAACACTAGTTAGGGCAAATTCCAAACATTTGCCAAGTGAAATGCAATTGTTCATGGTTTGCGCACTACTTACTACTGAAAGATGACAAAATACGTCTAAGGAATAATTACTGAAAGAGACAGCTGTGGGGTGGGACACACTTAGCCTCATATGATCTATATAGAAGAAGTGATGAACAGAATTGTATCTGAGATACAATACAGTCATAAGGCTCAGGGTCCTGCTCTCAGAGTTCCTTTCCTCCACCAAAATTAAACATAGAATGCTTCTGTTATTTCACAGACTCAAAGTTATTCCTAAGGGCAAGGACTAGTCAGCTATGTCACAGTCTCCTGGGAAGCTGTGGTAACCCCTTTGGCTTAATGTAGACAAAGAAGGGAAAAAGCACACCACAGTGAACAGCCCTGCACTGGCTGATGGGGCGAGTAGATGACCTAACGGGTCTTTTCCATCTATAATTTTATTCTGTGGCTTTGATGCTGAAGGCCCTGTTGACATCCACTGTGCTGTTGCTTTCCTGGAAGCTTTAACAAAGATCTGGGTTGGAACTCAGAATAACGAACACCACTGAACAAACAATACCGGTATGGGGTGACAGGCAACAAAAATGCCAGTGGGAACATGCCCCATCATGCCAGTTTTGTTTATCACAGCCCTTCAGGTTCCCTGAAACACTTGCGATCAATACATAGTAACTGGAATGGATGTCAGCATGCTGTGTACTTCAGCACAGAAGAAATACAGTACATGACCACTTACTGTACTGTTTACCCAAGTTATTGTTTGGATTTATAAGCTCTGGCCTGAAGACTAGCTCATTAAGAGATGCAAGAACACACTTAGAAATCCTCACTCAGCAGCAAACCTGTCAGTATTTCTTTTCTACACCGAGTCTGTTACTGTCAGAAGCGTACTTTCTCTTCAGTACACCATATCCTTATGTTAAGACTGGTACAAGCTCACAAGAGCCACTTTCTCACATTTATTTCTCTGTCAAAACACCAGACTTTCTACTTTACCCTGTTGCCACCAGGTTACTTCTAGGGCAAACACAATTACATTTCTAGCTCAAAGTACAGCAGGAAGATTCAAAATACCTCTTTTCATCCAAAACTTGCAGAATCAAGTCTTGTCACTCTGCCTATGTGAGATACACCACAAGCCTTGAGGGCAGAACCAGTCTGTGGACAATTTCTGTTAGTCTGTGGAGCAGAGCTCCTCAGCTAGCAGTCAGGTTTCCAGCAGTTTGCAAAGTCTACAGATACTTTGCCAATACAGTAACTAAATGAAACATGGTAGAATGCTGCCTACAGCAACCCAGATCTGAATTTAGATATCTAGCCTGCAGAGGCATGGTGGTACCAGAGGAATATTCTGACTCAGCTGGAGGAACTTCTCAGATCTGAAAGAAACTTTGCCCAATGGGAACTCACAGCAGGTCACAGCTCTGTTTCTCATGAGGTTGGCTCCATCTGTTCCCTTTTATGCAAGAGAAACACTTCATTAGGGCCCTATGTAACCTTATGTTGGGCAATACTGGGCACTCCTGGTTTCATCAAATGATGAATCAGTGGGTCCCATTATTGCTTCATACCACATACAGTAAAATTTTGGGTGGGTTCTTGGACAAGAATCTTGGCTCTGAAAGACTCGTTTGATATGGTAGCCTTGGACACAGCCATACAATAATTCAGGCACTTCTTACAAAGTGTTCACTTACATCACTAAGTATAAAATTCAAGCCATCTTTTTTGCTATTGTATAAAATAAAAAAACACCCTATACCATTCTATCTCTTGGAATGCAGGGACACACACACACACACACACACACAAATGCACCTCACTATGTGGCTTAGGAAGGTATCTTAGATTCCAGACCTTTCCATCTATTGCAGAGTGGTCCTGAAGAGAAAACCTTCTCCAGAGCTGCAATTTGACTGTAAGGGGTTCACACAGGCCAACATCCCTGATATTTAGGAAATCAAATTGCAGAGGTACGCAAGGCAGAAGGGAGTCTGGCACTTGGTAACAAGTTGTTGGTATCTTTTGTTTTTTTCCCTATGACTTCAGCAGGTTATTACTTGGCTTTATCACAATCCAATTTTGTCCCTAATTTCCAGAATAAATTTGAATTGTGAATGTGTTAGAAAACACGAAGAAGCACCAGGCTGGTATGTAAGGACTGAAGGTACTACAATTTTCAAAAACACAGTGGGAGCCTGACTGTTGAATTCAGTGGCACTCAGACTGGAGTTTAACAACAGAACTACTTTTAGAGTGCAAAGAGACATATTTTGAGTCATGGGACCTTAGATGTGATCCCTCCTTCCTTCAGTCTGGACTGACATGGAGGGCTAAGATTCTGACAGTTACCCTAATCCAGCACAAGTGTAAGTGAACGCCAGGACTAAGACTTGCTTCTGCCACAAATCAGGATTAGTTTCTTTCATTCATCCCCCAAAGAAATGGAATAGTCTTTTCCAGTGACCTATACTGGGTCCTGTAAAACTTTCAAGCATGGAGTTGCAGGTACAGGCAGGACATCAGTCAGTGCAAGTCCACTCTCAAACCTTTCACATCTAAACCTAAACTAGTCATTAGTAAAACATGTAATTGAACATCGTGTCAATGGAAAGCCTGTTCAACCAACCAGTTGCCCACTACAGAGAAATGTTCTGGTGGTGAAATAATCCGCTTGTTCCCATTCTTACCCTAACATAATACTGCTGCTGTATTTTGTCCTCCAGAAAGCACTAGACTCTGGCTTCGCAGCTTTTTCTTTCCGCTAAGTGCCTCCCACAGATGACACACCCTACCAGTGCTGGGCCTGAGCTTGGGAACATCAGCCTGTTCCAAAAACCAGAGTTCCCACATAACTGCATAATTCACTGCTATCGAGTTACTGAGCTAGCCACAAATTGACTAATGTAATACTCACTAAGGATCAAGAGGTTGTAGCATGACTGCTTAATTTCCAGGGGAGGGTGATTTGTCCTTCAGTATCACAAACACTTTAATTATCAGCACACAAATAAGTACTAAATCCCCTTCTGGCAGCCAGGCATAATGCAAAAAGAAAAGGGAATCTGCAACCTTTAACATGTAGTGTATATAGACATTAGGGCCCTCTGAAATCTGTCAGTGAATTGCATGCCATGGCTGCTTCCCCATTGGTGGGGAACAGGCCAAGGAGAGGAGAGAAGCTGGGATTTATCACTGCAAAGCACTGTTTGCCTTACTGTGACTGAGGAATGTCATTCTCAGGTTGGATATGCCTTCTCACTTGCTGTTTTCAGCCCATAAACCAAACACCAGCAGTGATCAAGAGCAATTCCTTTCCCACTACATGCCTAACTGGTAGAACGAAGCTCTCCCTAAGAAATCATTTCAGTTTTAGAAAATCAGATTAATCTTTTTCTAAGCGAGAAGGGTCTTTTGAATTGTTCCTTGAACTTAGGCTTCACATGACTCATTTTTATTTCTCATACTCTTTTAGCAACTAAACTGGTTCAAAACCTGCAAAGAAAGACTTCTGCCCAGCTATCTTTTCAACAGCTTAGAATAGAAGACAGGACCTACTTGCATCTTCTTCAGTAGCTTGAAATCCTGACCACGCTGATCATGTTTTCTTCACCAGCCAGCTCAACAATACCACATAAACTCACAAAGTAGGGGAATGAGAACAGGCTGTAATTATTGCCTGCAGATGTTCACACCAGCCAGTTTGCTGCTAACTACCTTTAATTGCCAGGGTCATAAGAATCAGAATCATAGACTACTCCGGATTGGAAGGGACCTTAAAGCTCATCCAGTTCCAACTTCCTGACACAGGACAGGGACAACTTCCATTAGAGCAGGTTGCTTCAAGCCCCATCCAACCTGGCCTTGAACACTGCCAGGGATGGGGCAGCCACAGCTTCTCTGGGCACCCTGTGCCAGCACCTCAGCACCCTCACAGGGAAGAATTTCTGCCTCCTTCAGTTTAAAGCCATTCCCCCTTGTCCTGTCACTACATGCTCTTGTAAAAAGTCCCTCTCTGGCTCTCCTGTAGGGCCCCTTTAGGTCCTGGAAGGCTGCTCTAAGGTAATTTCTTGCTTATGCAATTACCTAAGGCTATATAAAGACTTCTTTTTTTTTTTTTTTTAACCAAGCAGGAAATATTTGCACTACAAAATGTTAAAAGCAACCCTTAGTTATCACCATGAATATACCAGACAAATGACAGCAAAATAAAAGACAATTTGAATGCAATGACTGGAAACTTGCAGGGAAAGTCTCCCTGCCCTCTGACCCTCTGCTAGAGCTGCTAGTCCTCTCTAACAATCTGCTTTCTGAAACAGGTTTCTAAGTGTTAAACTATAAAATCTAAGCTAGGAGGCTATTTAACAGTAGATCATCCTTCTCTGAATGCTGCAATACCATCAATCTTTCTTGGAATGGGATTTGCATAGTAATCAGCGAAGAATTTAGTCCTAGCACTGTTATATCTCCAGCTAGCTGTTATATTTACTACATTATCTTATTTATCTGAAAACAGTTATTCTTCAATCTAGAATGATTTTATTCAGTCTATAACTACAACTCATCCTAGTAGCATCTGTAAAAAAGTGAATTAATTTTGGAAGAAGTAACTTTTTAAACACCACTGGACTGCTACTCTGTGGGACAAAGAGGTTTTTATTTCTTGAGGTGAGTAAATACATTCAGCTTCCCAAATCAGGTAGATATGATAGAGCCACAGGGGTTACATGTACATACTATAGACTTTATACAATATGTTACTTTCTATTTAACCCCTCACTCTCTCACACTTTGCAATTACCTCTCAACTTCAGAGCTAGCAGTAAGATCTATTTCATGCAGCTGCTCAAATTAAATCAATTACTTGAGCTCTTCCAGCTCCAGGTGCCATTAAGCAGAGCTCACCCTTTCCTACCCACAAATGTGGCAGGCATAGATGTTAACTGTTTTCTGTGTTAACATCCTGAAAATCAGGTCCCAGAGCAAATTACACACAGGGCCTCTTCCTGCCAGCTCTGCAAAGGAGAAGAAGCAAGTGCTTTTTGTTTAGTGCTTATATTAGACCATGCAGTACTGAGAGTTAATAGGTCAGTTTATATGTCTGTCCTTCCTGAAAAGGAATTTGACTTTATGCCATCCGCTTCTTCTGGCCTAAAGGGACTGGGTGATGTGGAAAAGCATGAAGGAGCTCACATGCTAGGCTAGGTGGAATAAGTTTGGGCACCATTTCATTCCCTGGAGCAATGATTCTGATGCCATGTAACAGTCAGTGAAATGACTATAAAAAGCAGAAAGAAACTCTGTGCATGCAAAGGAGCAAAAGGGGAAATAAAAATAATGGATTGATTTTCAGAGTCCACCCTTGTACGTATTTGGCTGTAATTAAGAACCTCTGTAGTATCTTAGCACAAGGTGGTCAAAGGACACTTTTTTCTTTTGAAAGAGACATCTACAGCACTTTAACAGAAAAAAAAGAAGGGGGAAACAATTTCCTAATTAGCTTCTATAATGAGAAGGAGAAGTGGAAAGGAACCCCTCATACAGCATAGCTTGAAATTGAGCCAAGTGCTGTACAGCTGAACTTTTTCAATGGCTATAAGCCATGAGCTAACTTTCAATACTCACAGTTGCTTTCTCCATATGTGTGCTTGAATATCTTCTAGTAAAAGTACAAAGCCAGTAGTCAGCTTCAGCCAAACTATACCAAGCAGTAAATGTCTAACAACTCCTGAGCTCATGTATGCCTTTGAGGAAAGCAGCCAGTGAAGGAGAAGTTGGATTAGTTGCCACCCAAATGAAAGGATGCGTCATGAGCTTCACCTGGATTAGTCTGCAGCAAATGGGAAGGAGCTGCAATTGATGCTTTGTCCATGTGGGGCCTAAACCTGGCTGAACTTTGTCTTTTTCTAGACATCAAAAATATCCACTACAATCCATGCCTTTAGGGTGCTAGACTGCTTTTATTTCAGATTTGAGCTCCCACCCCAATATCAGTGTTGAAAGAGCTCCAAATATCAGAAACCCCACAGCACAGCTTAGAGATGAGCTCACCTGTGATCAGTGGGAGGGGGACTGAAGTAGCTGTCAAAGAAAAAAAGTTGCTTGAATCCAAACATGGAGAAAACCTTTTGGTCAGCTTAGCAAATGGTAAGGTATGGGAGAGTTAGCAAAACAAGAAGAAACCACTCAAACAGCTATTAAATAACAGCAATTAATTTCCTTAGCTCTGTTTTGTGGAATAAAATGCTGATCTTGTTCATTTACTCTGGTAGATGGGAAAATGTTGTCACCAGGGGTCATGTGTGCTGGGATGATGGGAAAGTGTATGAGCAGGAAGTAATTAAGTAGTTGTAAAAAAGCTGGACAGAATATGACATAGCACACCAGGTCCAGCTAATGAACCTGCCTGAATTTATAGGTGGATAAAACATGTTAAGCTACGGGTCATTTGAGTTCTCAAGTGACAGGTCAGATCTGTGGAGTGGCAAGCATAGCATCATTATTAAAATAAGCATTGGCAAGTATTATGAGTCTGCCCTTAGGTTTAATAACGTTTAATTTTATAAGTGGCTCTGGATGATATCAAGTAGCTGTTGAGTCAATTAAATGCACACAGAGAAGTGCCTATGGAGGCTGGATTACTGGCACAGGGTCAAGGCACTCCTGGGCGGGTGGGACATCTCTCCATCCATAGACATTTTTATTTGTTTGTTACTTATGCTCTGGCCGTCTGAGAGCTCAGGGCAAAACTCCACTGACTTATAAATCTCTGCTTCTGTGCCAAAGTATCTTCATCAGCCACTTCAGCTGCACGACACCTATCCCACACCCAGGCCTGTCAGCATTGCCAAAGTGATATTCTCAGCACATCTGTCTGAGCAGGACCCATGTGCAGCTGAGGGAGTACCAAGGCCCTTCTCTGCTCTCTGCTTTCCTTCCCCCCACTGGAGCTGTGTATGGCTCCGCTAACCATGGGTGAGATCCCAGGGGCACTTTGAGGATTTGGGGTAAATCTTGTTCCAGTGAAATCAATGGGAGTTTTGCCATTGACTTTGGTGGGGCCGGACTTCATTCATAAAGCGTTGACTGTTATAATAGATTTACCAGCCCCACAGGCAGGCCATGCAGAAGTGTAATAGATCTCACACTCTTGCTTCTAGAAATGAATCCCCTGGCTCATGACAAGGTCTGCAGGGAGCAGCTTCCCTGAGCCAAGCCCTTTATCTGGGAAACCTACCACATGGTTCTCCACTGTACATACAGGGTGGAGCAGGGCTGACTGTGCCTCCACCATGGATGGGTATACGTGCATGCCATCCAGCTCTGGGAGAAGCCAAAAGCTCCCCCAGAGGTGTGGCCCAGTTGGTTCTGCACCACAGTGAGCTGGTCCCTTGAGCAATAACAGCAAGGGTGGACTTCCCCTGCTTGCACTGTGGCCAAGCTGGCCCTGAGCAGCCTCAGCACAGAGGCGGCACAAGCCACTGCATGAGCCAGCATCTGTGCAAGCAAAGGGATGAATTCTGGCTATTACAGAGCAGGGAAACTGCTGCAACAGCCAGCACTGACCCTGTGCTACAGCTGTGGAGAGAGCTGTGGGCTGAATGCTGCCGGCCATGTGTACTGACTGTTCACTTAATTTAAACAGAAAAGAAGGAGACAGGGAATCCTGCTCCATTGTCCTACTGCAAGTGGGAAAGGGCTGAACTAATTCAAACCAAACTCAGCACAGAACCTCCTCCCAGGCAGAGACATTTTTCTGTCAGGTTCCAGCCCTGGGAGAACTTTTACAGCTGAGCAATAAACTGTTGAAACAGAGGTGAAGGCCTCACTAGCTCCAGGCTCCTGACACAGGGAGCAGCACAGAGCAACGGGCACCGTTTAAATCCGTAGGATTGTGTCAGGCTCTGGGGGAGCTGGAGGGTACCAGGGGAAGGAGAGGGTTAATCACCACAATTGCCCAACAAGCATTTCCTAATATTGTCAATTTTACCCACAAGTTACAATTTCTCTGTTACTATAGAGGCAAGATGTTGATACTGGATTCATTTTCTGGGTTTTATTCCTTTTTGTCATTTTTCCCATGAACTAATAAGCCACAGTGGATTTGAAAGTATGAGCAAATGTGAACACTATACAAAGCACTTTTATGTTCTATTGACATTTTCTTCCCACCCTAATAATTTAGAGCTGTTAACATAAAAAAAAAAAAAACAAGATGATCATACTTCCCATCACTTTCATTTCCCAAGTTTATGAAGGAAGAATCATGAGTAATTTCCCATAGTTATTGTTTGCAGCACAACACATGGTCTCAATTACTGGGATAAGAAACATAGAGAGGGTATTGGTGAGGATAAATGATTTATCTGAGCATTTCATTCAAAATTCATTTTCCATGCCACAGTTTATATTACTCTGATCAACCATCATCTTTCTTATTGCACTTTATAAACTTAATCCAACTCTTCTGAGCAGGACCCTGGGTCACGAGAGATCAGTTTGCTGACATGTTTTTGGAGCAGTGAAGCATATTCAGGGTGACCCTCCAGCAAACCTCCTTGCTGCTAAAGGTATCTATATAAGAAGGGCAGATCTGGGCAAATCTAGGCTAACAGGACACAAAATAACTCTTGGATTCCACTTTTATTCTAATTCCAGGGAAAGAGAAAGAGGCAACAGCTATTGTCAGGATCCATGCCAACACAGAACAGAATTTGTGCACTAACATGCAGTCTCTTCCTGGCAGTTGAAGGTATTTCACTTTATGCTGTAGCAGTAGATTTGAAGAGCATGGCTGGGACAGGCTGGTGGCACCCCGAAGACTCACAGCAAATAGAATTTGGCTGCTTGCAGCTTTTGCAGAGGTATGGGTTCAGCTCACATCACAGCCAGCATTTCTTTCCCTTTCACCCTGCCTTCCCATCTGGTGCTCAAAGCACAATGTTCAGCTGCTTCTCCTGGTTAGAGATCATGCAGGACATGAGGTATTTAATGCTTAGGGGGCTGGTGGAGAGGTCTCCCTGCTTAAATCCTTTACCAGTTCTCTGGTTTTAAGCAAATTCCAGGCTGGTCTGTGGGGAACTCAAGGCTGTGCTCTTTGTTAGCACAAACGAGCCCAAGACAAATAATTGGCCTTTTCACCAGGGGGTTGTGCAACCCCTGCCAGACTTGGGCCTGGCCATCACGTTGGGACCCACAATTTCCTCCCTTACTTTTAGCTGTGCTGTCACTGCAGAGCAGAAAACACTCTTGTTTCCAGTATATTTCAGGATATCAGAGAGCACAGTGGACATATGTATGGGTGACACCATGATTAATAAATTCAGTGTCCTCAATGACACAAATGGGCAAGTTCACATCGAGCTGGCTTTGTTGAAGAGTGAACTTCTGAAATACAGCTCTGCTTCCTGGTATGCAGCATCTTGTCTTTGCTCTGAATACATGTAGCAGACATTTGTCAGCCTTTTTTAATCCCTTTCTTCTCATTGCTGGCTGCTGCTTTCAGTCTTAATCCATGCCACACAGACATGATACACGATTTACAAAATGAAGACCAGGTCTCCTGGGGCTCTCCACCCATCCCTCAGCCAAGCTTTGCCATGCCACACAACAGCTCTGACCTCATGATGTGTCACACCACAGTTGCACCCCAAGAGCAGAGACCATTGCTGGTCTAACTTATGGCAACATCTCACCTCTGTGCTGCTTTGATGTAAGAGCTCTACTAACAGATAGAAGACCTCTGAGCTTTACACACTTTGTTGTGAGTACTTTTCCCCAGTGCTGTGAGGACACTGAGATCTTGAAAAAGTACTGGGATGTCTTTTACAGAAGCAGATTTGAAAATTGGAGGCAAAAAAATGATAGTGAAGAGCTTGCAGTGAAGGGGGTTTATGCCTTTTGCAGGTACAACTTAAACACATGGAATGAGAAATCTGTTAAACCTTTTCTTTGGAGTTCAGGAAATGAGGGATTGTATTTGAGAGCTTAATAATCTACACTCAATACTTGCTAAAGTCTCTAGCAATCTGGCCCCAGTAGGTCTTGGGGTTTTTATCTTCTTACCAAAGTCCTGTGAACAGCTCTATGGCCCTTCTTAAAGTGCTGGTTGCCTCAGGAGTGCCAGCTGATGGGGAGGGCTTTGCACCAAGGCTGGTAGCATTGTGGGCCTGGCTACTGCCAGGACAGGTGGCTGCTGATTAACATCAAATCCTCCTTTGTGCAGCCACCCTGCAAAGCCAGTGCTGCTCATTTCCTCTCTCCCAGTTTCCTGTTGTTTCAGCCTTGCACTGATGTGAATACAGGCTGACAGTGCGGTTCCCTTCGTATCCCCTGTCTGCTCTGCGCTGGCACCTTCCTCCTCTCTTCCTGCCCATCCCTCCTATCACATGTTTCTCAAAGCAGCAGCAACTTGTGCTATCACCTTCTTCTCTATATTCCCAGTTCAGCTGCTCATATTTTGCCTGAAAGTTGAAGCCAGCTCCTGCTTGAATATTTTCCATCCACAGTTTATGTTTGGCGCAAAAAGAATCTCATGATGAAGGGATTTAATGATGATATATATTTTTTATTTATAAAGACAAGTTTATGTCTGAATTTCCCTTTAAAGTGCCTGAATGAATCTAAAGAAATCTGCATGAGAAATCCAGCTTCTTTAAGGTATCTTTTTGATCTCTTTTCCATCTTTAAGGTACCTGTGCCGTGGCAGAGCTGGCAGCAGTGGCAAGCCAAGACCCATAACCCTGTTAGATACCTCTAGGCTGGACAACTGGTACCATGTCACTCCAAATCTCGGGAATTCAGGTACAAAGTCCATTTTCCCACCATGTGCTTGGATATGAGCCATGTTGAAATGCACAGTGGGGATGAAGATGATGAGTCTTGTTCTCCTGTGTAGATTCCTTAGCTGACTTTACTCCTCAAAATGCAAGCACACAGTATGGACCAGATCTTTGCTGGATAAGCTAGACCAGAAGTCAGTGCACTCCAGGCTTGGAAATCGCACATGTGACTTCAAATTAAGAGCTTAGGGAAGGCTTAATTACTTGGAGGATTTGCTGGGGCAGCATGAGCCATGTCAGACTCCCGGCCAGACATGCACAGCATCACCTGCAGTGGGGAATGCACCCCACTGCTGGTGCAGCATCACAGGTGTCTGCTCAGTGCATGCAGGGCTTTGGGCACCCACCCTGTGAAGCAGTTTCTGTGTGGTTTGTTCCTGGAACTTGCCTCTGATCTTTGTTTCTATGGTCAGATTCAAAATCAAAGTGAAACTCAGCCAAAGTGCCAAGATTTCTTGGTTACAGATCGACACCAAGCAGAGAATCCATGGTTTGTATGGTTTCAACCTAAAATCATAAATCATCTCTTATGCACCAAAAAATTGTTCCAAATTTGCTTGAAACCTGGCCTAGATTTGCCTGAATCTTGGTCCAGGAGTGCTTGAAACTGAGCCCAGCTTCAGAGAGAGGTTCATGAACCTCGACAAACCTGGCCCAAGAACTGAGGTTGTAATGAAACTCAAAACCAGGGGAGTTTCACCTGGTTTGGGTTTGGTTATAGACATTTCTCACGGCTCTCGTATTTATTATGATTACAATAACAACACATTCATGCAGAGCTGCGAGCATACACACAACCCTGCAAAGTGAAAGAGTCTAGACAGCTTTCCTACCTGTCCAAGCTCACCACTGAGTAATGTACTGCCCTACAGCTCCACTCAGACCCAGTCCCATGTGAGCTGCTTAAAAAACCCAATGTCTACTGGGTTGTCGCAGACCAGGGGAAACAGAAAAATCACCCTGAAGCACCTCACATAGGAATGATAGGAATAAAGGATCAACCTCCAAAGAAAACTAAGCAGAAGCCATGTTTTCCTGGCTGGTTGACCAGCAGCCTCAGAGATGAGCTGTGGAAGCTGGCAGAGCCCGGGGCCTGCTCACCAGCAGTGTCAGTTCTGATTATCTCCATGCAGCCTGCTGACCTGGATACTTACCACAGGTCTTTTTTTGCCAGCACAGAACTACTGGACACTGTCACTCTGGTTTTTAAACCTATTAATTTTTCACTGGTGCTGCTGCATCTGCAGTGGCAGCATCCTGTCTGTGTGGGGTACCTACAGACACAGCACCCCAGGGGATGATGCTGGAGCACGGGGCCGTGCCTCTGCCTTTCTGGAGAGTGCGGGGAGCATCTGGGATATGCTGTAGTGCAGAGGGGCAGTTCCCATGGCTTTGTGCCCATGTGGCTCCTTGTCCTCCTCTCCAGGGACACCTCAGTTCTTTGGGGCTGCTCCTGGCAGAACAGCCATTGCCTATGGGCTCTCCCAAACCAAACCATCTGGTTCTCAGTTCCTGCCCTGTAAAACAAGGATGACAAACACATCCCAACCTCACAAGGGTGTAACGAGGCTCAACACGAGTGTCGGCGAGGCACTCACATCCTACAGCCCTGGGAGCCATAGAGAAGCTCATAAACAAACAAACCTGCAGATGTGAGAGCTGAGCCAGGGCAAGGGCTGGGCCTGCACTCCTGCCATGAGTGAGGGAAGGGTCCAGCCCAAGAGAGGGAAGGAGAAAAAGCCCTTCCTGGGTAGTTAGCAAAGGTTTAGCACAGTGTGACTTCAGCCTGGAAGCACCTGACTAGACCCTTAAGAAAACCACATGCATTTTTACATGCACATGAGAGTGTGTCTAAGCAGGTTGAGGACTTGGATGCTCACAAGCAGCACTGGGCACATGCGGGACTGTAGCACCAACACAGAGCTGCAGCACAGCTTTGTTAGCATGGTCCCACCAGCTGGGCAGCCCTGGCCTCCACAGCCATGGCTGTGCTGTGCAGGGCTATGTTAGAAAGGCGAGCCTGAAATACAAAAGCAAACACTTTGGTGACCTCTCTGGCCTCAAGGTTGCTCCACTGAACTCAACTGGGAGCTCATAACTGAGGAGTTGGCTTGGCCGTGATATTCCTCAAAAGCATTTGTTCTGAGGGTGTGAAATCTTTGGCAAGTTTTAAGGTCGAAGTAGATCATTGGAATTTGTCAGAGCTGAAATCATTGGCATCTTCAAGGTCTTTGCTGCACAGGAAGAGGGTCTCATCCTCAGGCAAACCAAAGCACACAGCCCACCCCATGGGCTCCAGGCATTGCTCTCAGAGCCTTTCTGGGGGCATCGTGGACCTTGGTGGAGCACACACTGAATGCAGCAGCACCACAGAACCTGCCGCTGACCACCTCCACCTTCCCAGCACCAGCAGTGCTCTGCCTGCTCCAAGAGCAGTGGTGGTGCTTTCCTGGCTGCAGGGGCACTGCTGCAGCATCTGCATGGGGACCTGCAAGTGACAGCTCAGGAACAGTGCAAAGCACCACGGCTGGAGGACCAGCACACCAAGTGAAGCACAAGCCACGTGCACTGTGGCGTTTTGGGCCACTAAGCGACTGCAGCATTCTCCCCCCTCCCATTTTCTTTCCCTTTTGCTACTACCGCAACCTGTCATCATTGGCATTCTCATTAGTGTAAATGATGGCATGTTTTGCCCCAAATTACAGCTGCCTGCTTACCCTGTCCTAAGTTTTCACAGCATCCACACCAGAGTGATTCTGCAGTTAACAGGACAGCCTGGATCCACGCTGCCGGTGCAGTTTGCGCACAGAGCCTCCTGTGTAACCGTAGGACCTCACACAGGAGCTGCATGGGGTCCTGCAGGCATCCAACCTGCTCAGGACACAGGGAACAACTGAGAGCTCTGGGATTTTATGAACAGCAGAGTTTTAGCTGAGTGTTTTTCTGCTGAGATTGTGATAATATGAGGGTTTACTCTGGGCGATCACACTGGTAGGACACTGCCAACCTGGATTTACTGGATTAACCTGCTGTACATCATATCTTGGCCTTAGCTGCTGGCCACTCCTGCAAGCATGAAGCCAACCAAAGCAGAAAAGCTTAGAGGCTTGCTCCTGGGGCAAGGCGAAGTTGGAAAGAACTTAGGCCCAGGCTTCCTGGCTTTGGGATGCTGGTGTGCCCCGTTAGCTCCTGTCCTACCTGGCAGAGGGCAGAAGGGGCATTGGGATGGGTACACAGCTCCTGCAGCTCAATAGGCAGCCCTGGCCTCACCAGCAGCTGAACTCTGGCTTCCCCAGCATGACTGAAACCACAGAATTTTCCTGTCACAGCACTGAAGTTAAAGAGAAGCTGTCTCCTCGTCTGGTGCCTACTCAGAAAGCTGCAGCATGATGCAAGCTCTTAAACGTGGCTCATTTTGTCAGAAACCATCAGATCCACAAGAGCACCGAGAGGCTTTAATGGTTCAAGCCCAGCATCAATTTAAAGGGGGAATCCTACTAAACCCTTCACAGCAAATGTCAGTTTCTAAAAGCGGTGAGAAGGGTTTTGTAGTGCCAGCACCACCACCCTCAGCCCAGCCTGAGCAGCAGTGGGATACCTTGTACTGCACTTACCTGTGTAGGAGACCGGCGGTGCCCAAACTGGGTCCCAGGAGGGCTTAGGCAGCTGTGAGGCAATAGCCCTGGCATCCTGCTCTTCAAACAGCTTAGGCCTGTTCGCATGGAGAAGCCTTGACCAGACCAGCTCTCCCAGAGCACAAAGCTGAACTTCAATCACAGTGTGTTTATCTTAGAGTCCGACCCTTTGGGACCTGCCGTAGGAAAGCAAACACCTCGGGTCCTTTGAAAGTCAGCTTAAAAGGGAGACTGTGGAAACAGCCATGTTCTGCCAAGATACATGTCAGCTGTCAAGTTTACAAGGTACTGTTACAACACACAACAAGAGCATGATCTGACGTGTACAGTAACAAGCCATCTTTGTTAAACTCTGTTCATCAAAAATTCTATTTATTATCCACACATGAACCGACGAGCCCTGTGCACGGCCGCAGCGGAGGGAAGCCACAGTTATTTCAAACAGTTGGAAATCAAACCATTTCCTTGAATTTGAGAAATATCCTTTAATTGCAAAAGGATCTGCATTCAGAAAGACCCCTGCTTCAGGCTGACTGGTGCTTACAGCTGGTCTGGGATCCCACCATCAAATAAACACAGGGAATGGTTTTAAAATCACACTGTAGGCTACAAACCACTCTTTAATGGCAGGTCTCACGCAATATTGTTCTGAGAGTTTGTGGTTCACTGAAACGCCAAAGAAACTGCAGAAATTCAGACTAATGTAAATAATTGTACACATACAGCAACCAAAACTGACAGGCAGAAATAACACACCAGTTAAAGGGCACTGCTGCAAACAGACAGATGGATAATTGAATGAAAATATGGGGGTTTATGTGCAGCTCAGTACAGCAAGACTGGCATTTCCATTCTGAATCGCTGAAAGAGACTCAAGATTTCTTGTTTCTGCAGGGCAACAAAGGCAATTTGCAGAACTGAGCAGGCAGCACTGGGGCTGCTGGAAAACAATCACGGAACCTTTGGCATGATAAGGTGTTACAGAGCAGCTTAAATGCTGAACCAGCTCCACCGAGCAGAGTTCTGACAGGGCTTTCTGAAATCACCCTTCTCAGCTCCCCTCAGTGTTTGAGGGCTGGAGAGAAAATACTCAAACCGTATGCTTCGCTCTAAACCGCATGACCTTGCACACTGCCACTGGCACTAAAAATCACTCCCAACCTGCTGAAACAGGAGTGCCATTTACAACTGTGAAGTTCTGATTATATTTCACCATAGTTACACAACATGTGGAAAAAATACACTGTTCAGCATTTTGGCACACTAATAAATAAAATCCAGACATGGTCTATTAAAAATATCAAAGTAACCCTGTGCACAAGCTCCTTTTCATATAGTTATATTTGTTATGCAGAAGAAATCAGAGCTGAAGTCTAATTACAGAAAATAATACAATTTCAGGTGAATTATTACAGTGCATTTCCCTTCCAGAGCTATTACATCTTGATGTATGTTCCCTCTATCAATACAGAGCAGTTGCAGTGACACCACTTGCTTCATTGCTTCTTCCAAATTTTATGTACAACATTCTGCTGCTGCTAAAAGATACACCATGGCACCTGCATATATACAAGAACACCCTCATCATCAAATAATTTACTTAATATCAAAACCCAGCTACAGCTTGTGATGGTTTTTGGTATTCGATTTTCCCTTTGTTACCAGTCTTAGGTTATTTGACAATAGCCATTGAAATAGGGGTGAAAGAATGGAATATTTTAAGTCAAGGCAGTTCTAGCAAAGAAGACTTTTCAAATTAATTGTGTTGTCTGCACAACAATTTAACATCCACTTCTGCGTGTTCTGGCTGTCAGTTACTTATTGACGGGACTATTCAGGTCAAGCCATTGGAAATGTTCTAACTCGCTCTCTGGAGCCAGACAGTAATTTGACAGAGGTCCACTGCCGCTCAGATCTGTGACGGTTCCTGGCTTTCTTCAGCTCTTCCTTTGCACGAAGAATGAGCAAATGGCAGCAGCAGCCTTTCAAGGAGAGGTCACCTGTGAACACAGTCAGATACAGAACCAACCCTACCGACAGTGCCTCCAACGTGAGCATGCGGCTCCTCACACTTCTAGCAAGAACACAAGGCCACAGAATAAACTAAAAAAAAGACTGTTTTATTGTGACATTTATGACATTGAACCCTTGTTGATAGGAATGGCTGTGGGTACTCCTGACACGTTACATAACGTCATGGTGTAGGATGGCACTGATTGTCATCTGACTTTTGAGAATGTTTAATGGTCCCTACTGACCTCAGTGCATTTTGGCAAGTCACAGAAACTTTATCATCAGGTTTGTGTATACAGTTAACAAGTAGTTGGTCTTATAAGCACCATTACAAACCCTCACATTAAGGGTATTATTAATCTAGTTTACAAATGCTTCATTGATAAAAATAGCATGATTACAGTATACACACACTTAATTTACATGTAATGTATTATAGGCATAACTGAGATAAACTACTGAGCTAACTTTGGTTGATTGAAGTATTTAGACTGAATAATGGCAATTTTGGCTTCTAAGTTGTGTAAATATTACAGTGCATTTATAAATCTAGGTTGAAAATTTACTAGCACCAAATGGATATCATAAATGGTGGACCTAGTAAGTTGTAGTTGGAGAAGCGAAGTTTAAGAATTACAAAAATAGAGCTGTCCATCAGTTGAAAGCACATTCTTGTACCTCTGCTGAAATGATGACGTGTCTCAGCATCAGTGGCCAACTTCCAAGGATAAAAGTCCCAGTTTTCAAGATTCAACATATCAAGGTAGCTCAGCTACACGTAAAAGCCTGAGAAAGTGGTTGTTTTGAGTTAGGGTATTCATCCTGTACCTTGTTTATGTAATAATATAATAGTGCTCATTCATACAAATGTACTCATGTAAGACTGTACCTATGATATGGAGAATCTGATTGGGAGGAATATTCAGTCCTACCTATCTATCTTTGGTTTAATTATTCGGTCTTTGGTTGATGAATTAATGAAGCAATATCTGAATTTTCATTTTCAGGTTATCTCCCAGCTCACCACTGAGGTAGTCTTTGTCATGTTTCTCTTCAAGCTGGTTAAGTTCCTTCTTTTTATAGAGTGGAATACTACTGATTTGTAATGAATAGTTTCCAGGCACTGGCTTCTTCTTTGTGAAATGAAGGTAACTTATCCCGTCCTTCTTATTGATTCTAAAGAAACCATCTTCATTTCCGGAGTCAATTAAGTATCGGTTATGGTTTGTCAGTGTTGTGAGGGCAGGAAGCAGTTCCAGGATGCGGTCTTTGTTACTGAGATCCGAGATGTTGATGGAGAAGACTGCTGCTTTCTCAACATCCCAGCTGGCGAGACTGATGGGTGGCTGCAGCTCTTGCTGATCCTGCACAAGAACAAATGATGTCAGTTGGCTTTGTCAGAGCGCGTTCCACACATGCCTGTGTGTATGCGTTGCTCACCCAGCTCATTCATTATTAATTAAATACTTTTCAGAAGGAGGTTCTGTAATGTCATCTGTCAAATGCACTGCTATGGGCCTGGGACTTGTCAGGATAAAGTACAGTCTTTGCTGCTGCTCCAGCATGGGTAAAGAGCCTGAGACGTGATGAAAGCTTCTGTGTGTGGGTCCTGCTGCCTGACAAACCACCCTGCTCCGTGCTTGGAGTCCGCCACCGGACTCCTACAAAGAGAGCAGCAAAGGCGCACTCCTCCTGCCTGCCAGGGGAACCACAAGCTGACACGAACAGCAGCGTGCAGGGTCTGGGGAAGGCTGTCATTCAGGTGGGAGTTTTCTGCTTTGCAAGATTTGCTTTGTTTGGGTGTGAAGCTGGAAGGGGCGGCAAGTTCGGTGGGGTGCTGGAAAAGCAGCATCACCCCTCACCTCCCAGTGATGGTAACTGGTCTCCCCCTAAGTTCCCTGAGCACAGGTCACTGCAGTGGCAGAATGATGACATTTCAGGCAGCACATCAGCTGTAACATTTTCATTTGGAAAGCAAGGGAAGCTCTAAGTCACCCCCAAGACAAATCCAGCACTAATCACAGAATACTGAAACACACTGAAGAAGCAGTTTACGACCCCACTGTACCCAAAATCAAATGTCCACACTCTCCTGGGCAAAAGCACTCTCCTGTCTTCCTGTATTAGCAGCTATGCACTGGGCACCTAATGGGCACAGCTAACAGGATCCCAAATCCCCTGTATTTGTGCGTGAAAAAAGCAAGGCCTTCAGCACGTACACAGGAGTAGAAGGTATGGATGACATTCAGCTCAGGGTAGTGACTGTGTGGCAACATTCTACACGAGTGTTCAGCATCTCTTGATTACATTTAGAATGCAACACACACATTTGCACACCCAGACATGTACTTTCATCTGAATAGTCTAGAGACCTGCCATGAGCTGCTGCTTCTGTGGTCAGGCCAGAGCAGATCACCTATAACATCACTGTCACCTTAGAGTGGATAGAGAAGTGAGAAGTCAAATGACCATGGACTTGGGAACCCCTCTCCTACAGTTTGCTGAAGTCTGCATGTAACTAATGTGAACCACAAGGTTTTAGATCCAGTCAACTTGTGACTGGATGACTGGACTGGGCAATTCTGACTTTAGATTACAAGAAGTGGAAATAAGCCAACAAGGGACTGACTCCCCTGGTAATTAAGGAGTTTGAATTCTGCAAAGGAGGATGACCTTTGCCTAATGACAGTGAAGAACTTCAAAAAGCCCACACACAGACTACTCAACATCTAAATCCAGCTCTCCAATGAGCTTTTCTACTTGGTTAGGGGTGTACATTTTTGCTGTGGGATTGTCTCCTGGTGCACCTCCTTTCAAGACTGGCTTTCCCAAACCACCACAAGCCCTTTCTCCCCAGAAGGGTCAATTACCTCTGCTTCGTTTGCAGTTTCATTAGTGCTTCTGCGCTTCCTTCCTCTCTTGGGATAGCCATTGATTTTACATTCGTAACAAGCTTCTGGAGAGAGGGAGTTGTCATCTACTTCTCCACTGAGTGAAAGCTCTTGTCCTTGACCTTTGCCTAGCCCCACTCCAGAAACGCAGTGTCTGAGGAAGGAAGAAATCCAAAGTTAATTCCAGTGAGACACAGATCTTACCAAAACCTGGACTGGGGTGACTGAATACAAATAATAAATTATGTTGCACTCTTTTCCTAGGAAAATCTGCTGCTGAAGTCAACAGGCAAAACTCTCACTGAATCACAATGCAGCTACCTCTGGTTTCAAGAACCTGGCTCCATGAGGCTTTGCCTAAGAGAGACCTGCCAATATTTAACAGTTTTAAAAACACAGGCTTAAGCTCTGAGAAGTTGTTAGTAATTCCTGTCATCCAACCTGGAACACATTGAAAGAGACCAATTTTCAGAAACTGCTGAAAAAATCTGAAAGGTGAGGTCGTGCCTAATAACCCCAAAGCTTTTAGTCACTTCTGAAATATAAGGCACAAACTTTCTGCTTTCCATCTGAGTTGCTTGGTCCTACAAGCTGCACAGCCCTAACACTCCCACTGGGACAACTGAAAATTGGTTTCCTTGATAAAGCAGATATTTATTTAAAAAATGATTCATTTGGAACACAGAAGAATATGGAACACACAAGAATATAAAAGCACACAGAACTGCTATTCCAGCCAGTGGGTGAAGCCACTTGTATAATATCATTTGTCTTTGGAGCAGGCAGAGGCCTGGGACTTGTGATACACCACAAATCACAGCAAGTGGGGGTGTGAGCTCCCAGGTGGCAAGCTCAAAGAACTTGGCTGGATGCTGGGGTGTGCAGGAGGGAGGTGAAAGCAGTGGCTTAAAAGAGATGATTGAACCTGGCTGCCCTGACCAAATTCCATTAAGCATTAAAACCATGTTGCTCCCTTCCCTTGGTTACCTTTCCCCTCCCTCATCTCCAAAATCAGCATGTGCATCCAACTCTTGAACACCTCCACAATCTTATCCCTCTTTCACTGGTGACAAACCCCCTGGTTCTGCTGCTCCATGCTACAGCAAAAGGAGAGGGTTATGTCCCTTTTATGTCTGTTAGTTTAAAATGAGAATCCCTTACCCTTGTCCTATTCTGAAGTAACCAGGTGGACATCCACAGACGTAGCCACCTTCTGTATTTGAACAACCATAACTGCATGGGGCTTGTGCAGAACCGCATTCATTGATATCTTGGCAACCTCCACTAAACTGTTCATACTGAAATCCAGTTGGGCACATACATTTATAGCTTCCCAAAGTATTGTGGCAAGATGCTCCTCCACAAATGTGCGCACTGAGACATTCGTTTTCATCTGGAAAAGAAGCAGAACATACCATACGTTAACTTTGACTCTGAGGTGTAGTCCAAACTACCCCTTCAGAAAGGTTGTGCTCCACTGTTGCTAAACATGCTGTCACATCAGATGGACAGACAGAGAGCAGGGCTTGGCCTCACTCTTGCCTAGGGCAGCGGTCGCTAGGAGATGACTACAACCACACAACAGAGCAACGTTGGGCTACTCTACAGAAGATGTTTCATGCCACGTCAGCTCATGCTCTGGAAAGCAGAGGAGGCAACTTTTTTTTGTTGCAGAAACAACGGAGAAGAATAAAACTTTGCACAGCCAACAATCTGGTCTGGTAATCCCATGTTCATAGTGCTGTTCAGCGTTAAAGGAAAAGGAGTGAGGAATCAAGCTCTGACACCTTTTCCAGGCACTGAAAATCCCTCCCTACACACTCACATTTAAATGTGAGGTACAGGTAAGGTACAGGAACAAGTAGTAAAATAAAAATAAAAGCAGCTGCAGATACAAAAGACTGCCACATTCTGAGCCAGCCCTTTTCCAAACTTCCCGAGAGCAGCACTGCAGGAGCTTGAGGTCAGTTCAGGATTATTTACTGTAAATGCCTAGTTTTTCAAATGTAGCTGCTCTGATTTTTTTGTCTGATGTGGCAAATTGGTTTGAAACATTCTGAAAGCTATTGTTTCCTGAGTTCTGTGATAAAGCAACTGCATATGTGCACTGAGTGTGCACATGTAAGAAATGCCATCTGGACACTGTATGGATAAAATGTAAAGCACAGAGCAGCATCTCTGACCAAAGCATCTAAGTTACAGGAGAATAAGTATGAATTCAGAGCATTATTGTCTTTTTTTCCAAACAATGTGCCTGGTTGTTCTTTGTTTAAAATCAACGCCTGTGCTTCTTGCAGCCTAATTTACAGCATGATGCACTCCGGAATTGCCTGGGCAGGGGATGCAGTCACACACAGCACAAGACATGGGAGGAACCAAAGCATTCTTCAGTGATTATCTAAGTATGTGTTGCAGCAACATCAAAAGTCCCTGAACACTTCATTAAATAAGCTAAAAAAGACACAAACTGTTTGCAGAGCTGGGATTGCCAAGGAATACGAAGGAATTGTCACGGAAAAACCTATTACATGGATTCTTCCCCTGTGGTACACCCAGGAGATCTAGATAAGTATCTTAAGCACATACAGTTACAGATGTTACATTATGAATATGCGGAGACCACAAGGTACTAAAACCTGGGGTTGAATTCTGTGTTACTGAAGCCTGTGGTTTTGCACTTAACTCAAAATGATGTTTCAGTATTTTCCATACCTAACACAGAAATTATGTCAACATCATAAATGCATGTTTGGGCCACAGAAAGTTACTGCACCAAGAGGAGATGCTCATTTTAACTTGCTCCACAGCAGCAAGACTGTGAACACTGTGCTCTGTAACACACAATTCTGTTGTGCTCAGCTTCAGTAGGAAGGAGAGATGCTATAAGGACAGAAGAAACAAAACCTCCTTCCTTCAGTTCTGGGTTTCTGCTGGGTCTGCCTCATGTCCAAAAAAGGTGGAAGAAAGCCCAGCTGTGTCTCTCAGTGTAATTTTCCCTGGTGATCAGCATTGTGTTGCTGAGGTTGAAGCCTTTCTCTCCATTCAGGAAACACCAGTGCTGGTGCATTCCAAAACTGGTATTCCCTGTATAAAATCTCAGTGGTAGCCAATGGGCTCAAAAGCTGGAGTAGCAGTGTACACCTCCTTTGGAAAATACACTTTGTTGAATGCTATTATCACCCAGGAAGGACTGGAAACAGCCAAGATGTTGTGTAAAACAGAGCTGCACTTCTTCAGATTCCACAGGGTCCTCCAGCAGCCAGACATGGCAGTGCTGTGCGGCTGTGTTTGTCTCTCTGTTCTTACCTTCCTGCAGATTAAATTCTAATTTAATCCTAAAATCTGCTAGTTTAATTAATACTCAAAACCACCACGTGTTTGGGCTCCCTCCTTGTCCTCTTACATGTAACAGGCATAGAGTACTGGAGCACAAGCAAGCAAACATCACAGCAAGGACCGCGTAAAATGTCATGGGGTTTGGTAAGCACAATTAAAAGCAGAGACCTCCCTAGAGCACGACAGTGATAACAAGCAAAGGCACTTTTATGTTTCTGAAAGCAAAGAAAGCCAAACAAAAGAGTTACGAGA